GGTGCGGGGCTGTGGTCGCTGCTTCGCGTCGCCCGCGAGTTTTGCCCCCGCTCTAGTCCGGGTGCCTTAGGATTTCCGCCGTTCGACAGCTTTTCAGCTTTCCGTTTGCTTCTCGAATTGTGCGGGATCGAGACTTTTAATGCCGGACAATTAAGTGTTGCAAAAAAAAAACGAGTAGATTTTTAAATACGGGAGGTATGGAAGGGAAAAAAGACTCAGCGCTCCCAACTCGAGGGCTCAAGAGACGTGCTTTGCTGTTGTAGCTGTTACTTATCCGTTGTTCTTACGTAACTTAAAACAGTTTTGTACCTCGTGTTCGAGCTGGAGACTTTTGTAATAGCCGAGGTCTTCTATTTCCATGTACCAAACTATTTGAGTGAAGAGTTCCCAGGCACTGAGGAGCTGTTGACACTGAAAGAATTCCGTGCTCAGTGTCTGATTTCTAAGCATTGCAGAGCTGACAGCCACATCGTTCAAGCACAGGTTGCAGTTGTTGGTTGCTGCTCCACAGCCATTTCAATTGGCATGTAAACTTCTTTCCAATTACATCCGAAATACCCCTTTCATAAATTCACCAGAATAGTCTCTTTAATGACCATCTGAGGTTCTTTTGTGCACTGATTCTGCAAAGAGTCTTAGCAGGTTTGTTAAAAGCAGACATATTCTTGCATTCTCTCCAGAGGTCTTAATGAAATAGCGCTCAAAGGAACAGTCTGAACTTCAACATGGCTTTCCATGTGGAGGGGCTGGTGGCCATAGTTGTATTCTACCTGGCTATCCTGGCAGTTGGAATATGGGCTGCTTGGAAAACCAAGAACACCGGCAGCGAGGGAGATCGCAGCGAGGCTATTATCGTCGGTGGAAGAGACATTGGCTTGCTAGTTGGTGGATTTACAATGACTGGTAAGTAAAAAAAAACCCACAAAACCTTTTCCTTTTCTTCTCTGATCAGCCTATAACTTGCCAGTTTTCCATCTGAATGAAGAAGTGTAATCTGCATGTTGAATAAGGGAAAATGGAGAAAATCTTTATATTCTTTTTCCAGTTGCTGCTCACATTGTTTATTGAAGAGCCTAATGTAGCACCTATATAAAAACAACAAATATGTTAAAATTGTACAGAAGGAATAAGTTATATATCTTACACATTGCTTTCATATTCATCTGTAGATCAGATCTGCTTGGGACAGAAGTATGGAATTTCTATAGATTAATACAAAATCCAGTTTTAAAATAACTGTTACTGTGAAATCCATCCAAACTGATGAGTTATTTTGTTTAATCTGAGGACAAAGTTTATATGCAAAAAGATGCGTCTGCTCAGCATCAATTCAAATAAGTTTCTAAAAGAAAATCAGCATAAATTCAAACTTGTAATTCCACTGATTTCAGCAAACTTACTTTGTGTATTCTTTCAGATTCTTTTACAGCAGCTTCATAAAATAAAACATTACTGGGAGTAGTAGTATCCATAGGAAAAGCCTGGGTGAGTGAAGAGTTCTTCACTAATTTTGTAAGCAGTGCTGTATGACTCCCAGAGACAGTCAAACCAGGTGTCTTATTTGGGTACACAGGATATTCACAATATGGTCCAAAATCTCAAGTCTCAAAAGCTAGCATATGGAATCAGATCAAAAGTTCATTGCAAGAAGAGTGAATTGGTCCATCATTTTTACTTAAGCAATTTCAATTTTAAGCATGCTTTAATTTACTTATTTATTTATAAAAGAAATATTTAAAAATGCATTTATTCTAAATCCTATTCAGGCAGAATCCTCTCGATTGCCAAATTTGATTTATCAGATTGTATTTATATTTTGCTGTTACTGCCCTATTTGGGTTTCACAATTACCTAATAAGGAAGAAGCACATAAAAAGTTGAGCCAAAATTCTGTGTTCTTGAATCAAGAGAAATTTCCATCTCCTTACAGGGACATTTGCTCATTCAAAATTCTTGGATATTGAGCAAAGAATGTTTGTAAAATCAATAAAGTTTTAATATAGGCAGATGTTCTTCTTTTCCTACTTTGCTATAATTTACTGTATCATGTATCCACTGGCTACTGAAGCATTGGATGTGACAAGATTCTGCTCACTGAAAGAGCTAGTTTGACTGCGTTCTGCTGAATGAAACATTTTCAAGTGCACTAAAACCAGAATATTTTGCAGAGATACTGCTTGTTACAAAACTGTAATAGTGGAGACTGATCAAGTCACTCCCTGCACAAATGGTTACGCCGAATAACTTTGCCTGTGGAAGAAGATACAAATCATGCTCTCCTTAATCCTATTTTACAGGAATATTTTTCGTAACAGCTGAAGCAGAGATGAGACTTGAACTGGAGCTTCCTATGTTGTAGGCAATTTCTATAACCACAACAATTCACACCCACGTTTGCACACCCTGTTTCACGCAAGTTCTAGAGATAGCGCCGCGTATCATCACTGCGCTAGAATATCAAGCTAATTGTGAAGACCTTGCACAGCTAAAATACTCATGGCTTTTATGCTATCCCACTTCACATGCTTTCTCACCTCTGCGTTCCACAGAAAGGCAATTGAAGCTTGAGATGGCAATTAAAGTGCACTTTCCATTTTGGGGAATGGCACATGAAGTTAGGTGTGGGCACAAGTCTACTGAGTCGGGAGTTGGTCCGGGTTTTGTCTTGATGAGGGTGTTTGGGATACTTAGTTTGTAAAGCCATAACAAAATAATTGTGAAAGTAAGCTGATCAAAATCCACAGTAATTTTTACTAAATGATCATATTATTCAAGGACGTTTGCTTCTTTAAAAATGCAGATTCTGCACCTCATAACTGTGCCTCCAGAGCTATATAGCTATTCCAACGTAGTCTGTATATTTTACAGTTTTAATCATATTTAAGCAACTAAAAATCAAAGCCTATCCTATAAAACAATAAAATTTTTAAGATCTCAAGAAAGGTTGTTGTTAATATGGACATTAAATACTGCAGGTTAGGGGATAAGGCCTAATTCTGTCTTTCTCACTTGGGATAACCACTATCTTCTTTCATGGATATTGGCTAAAAAAAAACTGTAGCAGATTATAGGGCTGCTTGGTGGGGAGGATGACAGAACTTATTCTACAAATTTAAAATCAAATTCAGAGCTTAAGCATTGTGACTTCGTAGTAATGGACTCAGGATTCCTGAGTAATTATAGTTCATTTTCTAAACGGCATTTCAAAGCCTTAAGGCTACTGCATTACCTGTGAATAATCGCTGTGGGCATATTTGGATGTATCCCGTGAGCCTGAAGAAGCAGCTGTATCAACTAGCTACTGAGATGCCTAAACACAAAGCCTGGTGAAGACTGAGTGCATCTGCGATTATCAAAATAGAAAGAGTCAGAACCTTGAATTGAGGATGGATCACAGGAACTCTCATTTAAACGAGCTAACATTGTACAACAGAAGACATGCCTTTAATTTGTGTATTATTTTTACAGTTATAGTTAAAATGTTGCATTAAATGAGAGCGTTCCTTAATTTGTGGATGAAATTCTTAAGAAGTGGTACCTGCGACAAACTTAAGTCTATTTCGATTTCAGTGATTCAGTTTAAACCCCAAGGAAATATTTGGGTTGACATAATCAAATGCTTGCAAACATGACCAAAAATCATAGTCTATGTATGTCATTTTTTCATTTTAGGTGGATGGAGATTCATATCTCTCCACAAGAAAAAAAATAAATATTACTAAATTCTATTGTGTTTTTTTTAATCCTTAGGTCAGGATTTTCATTTTACAGAACTTGATGTGATGATGCAATAATTTCAGAGGTTAGAAAAGGGATTATTCACAAAGAAGTGCCAAAAAAAAAATAATTCTAATATCTATCAGTCTATGTAAAGAACTCTGAGATTAATTTCTGTGTTCTTTGTATGGACTGGGAGTGGAATTGCTCTCAACATCCTCAGTATTTGTCTTGATAATTCTTTGGGTGCATGTTTTAAATGGATATTGATATTTGCTGCATTGTTTGGTCCTTCAGATGGCAAGCAAAGAGGGGATTAAAATAGATTACCACGAGTCTTTTCATAGACTATTAAATTTTCTATTCCTTTTGTTTGATTTAGAAAAAAGAAAGATTTTCACTAGAAGAGGTATTAAACTAACTTTAAATTGTGGCTCAGCAAACTGAGGGTCAGAAATTAATATCTAAGATTGAAATTCCATCCTATCATATCCCATTATTTCTTTTCTAATGTATTTACTGATGTCAGTGTACATGCTGACTAGTCGCTTGCCCCTTCAGAAAAAGCCATATAGCGCCTTCCTAGAGCTCTGGGGTCCTTGGCAGATGTTCCAAAGCAGTCACATGCACAGAAAAAATGATCAGCAGCTATTTTTTTAAATTTCCAATCCAGAAATTATGAAACAAAATTGAAAATAAGTGCTAAATCCTTTGTGCCACATAGACCTTTCTGTGGGGCACACTCTCTGTCCCCAGCCAGTGTAGACAAATGGCCCCTGTAACATCACACAGAAGGGAAGTGACTTACCTCCCTCCAGAAAAAACATAAGGGAGCTAGACATAGCATCCAGGTGCCCCTTGGAGAACACTTGGCACCTCTGTAGCAACCCCAGGCAAATAGATACTGGATGTTGAAGCCTCTTTGCACCACAACTGCAGCAATGCTGGACATCTGTTCTTGGCTATAGGATATTATTCCCCATCTGGAAGTGGGTATCGTTCATGCAGAATGCATGCTCATACTTTTCCCAAGGAAGGAGATAAATACAATTCCCTTTCTAAATACTTACTTTTGTTATTGTGTACAGGTCCTTACAAACTACTCTCTTAAGTCTATGCTGCTTGAGATACAATAGTCATCAAGCATCTCAGGTAGTCATGGGCTCAGCAGTTAACATTGCAATGTCTGGTTGGAGATCAGTGATGACATGTCCCTCAAGGGTCCATTACTGGACCAGGATTATTTAGCATATTTGCCAGTGACATGGACAGTGGAATTGAGTGCATCCTGAGCAAGTTTGATGATGACACCAAGCAGTGTGGTAGACATGCTGGAGGGAAGGGAGGCCATCAAGAGAGACCTTGACAGGCTTGAGAGGAGGGCCCATGCCAACCTCATGAAGTTCAGCAAGGCCAAGTGCAGAGTTTCACACCTGGGTTAGGGCAATCCCAAACATGGAAACAGGCTGGGTGGAGAAGGGGTTGAGAACATCCCCAAGGAAGAGGATTTGGGGGTGTTGGCTGATGAGAAGCTCAACATAAGCAGCCAAGTGTGCACTTGCAGCCCAGGAAGCCAACAGTGTCCTGGGACACACCATGAGAAGTGTGGCCAGAAGGTCAAGGGAGGTAAAGGAAGGTCTCCTCCTTTCTGGTGAGACTCCACCTTGAGTATTTTGTCCAGTTCTGGAGCCCCCAACACAAGGACATGGAGCTGTTGGAGCAAGGACAGAGTAGGGCCATGAAAATGATCAGAGGGCTGGAGCACCTCTCCTACAAAGACAGGCTGAGAGAGTTGAGGTTGTTCAGCCTGGAAAAGAGGAAGTCTCTGCAGAGACCTTAGAGCGGCTTTCCAGTACCTGAAGGGGCTAAAGGAAAGCTGGAGAGGGACTTTTCACAAGGATGTATAGTGATAGGATAAGGGGGAATGGCTTTAAACTAAAAGGAGGTAAATTAAGAATAGACATTAGGAGGAAATTCCTCACTATAAGGGTGGTGACACACTGAAACAAATTGTGCAGAGAAGCCGTGGAGGTCCCATCCCTGGAGACATTCCAGGTCAGGCTTGATGGGGCTTTGAGCAGCCTGATCTAGTGAAAAAGGTCCCTGTGCACTGCAGGGGACACTAGTTTAGATGTCCTTTAAAGGTCCCTTCCAACCCCCCCCCACATTCTATGATTGTATGATTCTCGAACTCTGATACCGAAGTATCGCATTCCCGCCTATGTGTAGATTCTGTATCCTTGCTCTTCCCATCAAGGATCAGTGTTCATTCATATTCTCCATGTGGTCCTACAGGGCCATCACTTGCCCCTTGTCTTTTATCTATAGCAATCAGTAGATCTCAATACCCAGAAGTCTACCAATCACAGGCTTCCTTGGGTCATTTCTTTTGTTACAGATTTTCTCTGCTTTTACATCCTTAATACAAACCATTATATTATTTGCAACAGCATAATCGTCCATTCCTGTGTTTTAAAATGCTGAAGGGGGGACAATTGTAATGATCTGATTGCCAGAGATCTTTGGATCTAAATCCATGCTTTAATTTAGGATTGAGTTAAAAAAAAAAGTACTCTCTGGTAGTAATTGAGACATGGCACAGGTAAGTGGATAAAAGTGGTCATTTAGATTTTAATGAAATTTCTTTACAAAATTTAATTAAATTTTCTTCATTTCTGTGTTGGAGATTTTCTGTCAAACATACTGTAGGTCCCAAGTTCTCAAATGAAACTTACCTTCAAGGAAGAGAATCAATTCACCAAGGATCTGATATTATTATATTAAAAATACTGATGGTATTTAGGAAGATAAAATCAGAAATAGTATAGATACCACAATTCACTTCTGGAATATGTCTTCAGGGAGCAGAAAAACAAATGAGTCAAAGTTTTGAACTTAAGTAGCAACACTGAGCTACCACAGCCCTACATGGAAATATGACATTTCAGGACATCAGAGTTTACTAAAAGTGCTTGGTGTAGCCACAACTTAAAATGTAACAAGGTTTTAAGGGCCATTTTTTTCATGAAGGCCCTAGTAAATGCATTAAACTCTTGTCTAATTCGAATATTTTGAGTTTTCCCAGCTGGGATGACTTTAACAATATCTATTTATTGTACTTCTTTGGATCCTTCCTTACATCTCTTTTTCATTTGGACTAGTGCAAAAAATATTATAGTAGTTAACATGTTGATGTGCTTCCTTCATTGTAAACAAGTAGTGGGGACTCAGCCCTCACATCTTCACTGACTATACAAATGCTTTGACAGTTTGATGATTGTCTCAGTCCATCTGACTTCTTTTTTCATATGCTTAGGTTGTAAGTTTCTGTAATTAGGACTAACTTTTATAGAAGGAGGCCATGTCTGGCACTTGTACAGTACCTGCGATATAAAGTAGCAAAATTACGTGATGACGTTTTCATTCCATGACATGGGAGGTTTTCTTTCTTTGTGCACATTAAAGACTTTTCCTCCCCTTCTTTTGCAGCCACATGGGTTGGAGGAGGTTACATCAATGGGACAGCTGAGGCTGTGTATGTCCCAGGCTATGGTCTAGCTTGGGCTCAGGCACCTATCGGATATTCCCTTAGTCTGGTTTTAGGTAAGTGAAAAACTAAAGCTAATATTCTCTTATTTTAAATACTTGTGATGAAGAGTCCAGAATTTGAAATGAAAGAACTAGTGTCTGATAAAAAGATACTGAGGTAAACTGGATCCCTTCTGCTGATAATTTTGGCTGTTAAAAAGAAAAACAGAAAATCATTATAAATACTGTGATATCTCAAGTCTCCTGAGTGTCTTGGGAAGACCTATTTGATTATCACAACCATAGTGATCTATGGAGGTCACAATAAGGAAGATTTTTTTTTTAGTTTTGTTTTCTTTTTTTAATTATATGTACTAAGTTTTATATATTCAGGTTTTCTTTAAGTACCTATATGATCTGGAAGATGATAATATCAGGGCCTCTATAAATTTTGGCATTAAAGAATGAGAAATAGCCTTTCAGGTTCCAGAAATACTTGTGCATTGCAGATCTTTACCAAGAGTCCAAATAACTTAGATGTCTATTTTTTTTGTAGGAAATCTGTAGTAGAATCTTTCCTTAAAATTGGACCAAGCATCTTCTTAAATGTGGTACAAAACTCCAAATCACAAGTCAAAATGCAAATACACATTCCTGCCATATGCAGGGCTAGGGTGTAAAATACAGACGTTACAATTTTAATGGTGTGGTCTCTAATTCCTGAAATGTAGTCTCAGAACTTCCTTGCCTTTATTAAAAATAATAGCAACAAAAAAATTACCATATCTCAACAACATGGAACAGCTCACAATAAAAGTATTGTCTTGTGAACTGTGATGAATACACCACAAAGCTGTCAATGGCATCCTCTCAGTTTGTGAACAGATCAGGTTCCTGAGGCAACAAAAAAGACACTGTGTTTTTCATCTTTCATTAGTGTGACTGGTGTATTAGCCTGGTGTATTAGACCTCTCAGTCTATTTTAAGTCTTTCCTCACGTTCCCCCCACCTAGTCTGTCTCTTTGTTTCCTTTAATTGCTTATCTAGGTCTTCTTGCCCCTTTTTATTTCTTCCTGTACAGCTTGTTTTCCCTCCCAACTCTTTTTTCCCCTTTGAAATGTTTTCCTATGGCCTGTCCTGGTTCTCCTGTCTTCAAAACATCCCTATTGTAGATGCTCCTCTCTGGAAAGTGCAGACCAGCCCCAGTTCCAGTAGTAGTTCCCATCCATGAGGGCAGCTCTATGTCCTGTAAGGAAAACAGTAACAGTAGATGTCTGCCTGGAGATCAGTTGATGTCATTATGAGGTCATTGTTGTCATTAAGCAGCCATTAGGAGCACAGTCATAAGCATCTTCCTGACTCAGCCTCTGTAGAATTGTCACAAATTACTCATAGACCAGAAGGGGTTGAGTTGGCCTCTCCCCTCATTTCCAGCTGTTTTTATAGATCCAGACTTTCAAATGAAATTTTGAATTTATTAATTCTTTAGAAATTATAATGGCCACTGCAGAGAAAATAAGTCTGTACCATGTGATCATACAGTCTCTGCAGAGCACAAAGAGGAAAGCATTCATGTAGGTGTGATCTGTACATTTGTACATGGGGGGAGGAGCTGGTTATTCGTCTAAAGAAAAAAAAAAGAGAACTATAAATACAAGCCTAGAAGAAATATTGCTTCAGATTGGAAGGATTTAGGATGTAATCTCACTGTTATTTCAATGTTGTGCTTCACACTGCTTTTCCTAATATTTCAGAATATTTGTCTTTAAAGGTTAGAATATCCCCTGTTTCCTTTGATAGATGTTTGAACAATGTGGAGAATGGCCCAGCTTCTCCCCCCACATAAGGCTAAATAAATAGATGATAATACTAGTGACTCTTCTTTTAGTTGTCTTTTGCAATGATGACATAATAAGCAGACGAGGAACAGGACCCATGACCAATCCAAGAATAGTAAAAATATGCTGGAGGGTTTCTGCATCTGAACATCGTGCCTAAAGACATCATTAACATAAGTGTTATAAATAAATTGTGATTGGTAACCCAGTAACTTCTGTTCATGGAACTTAATGAAATGAAGAAATTTGAGCAATATAAGGCATTACATAGAAAAGTGGAAAATCTGTAAAATACTATGAATGCGTTACCTATCTTGTGATGAAGAACCTAACTAAGGGTTGTCAAACACTGTACAGCAGAATTTATATGGAACTGACTGGGTTTCCAGTTTTTCTGTGGTAGTTTATACCTTGCATTTCAGCAGTTTTACTTGGGTAGAAGTCTCCTTAGTTATAGTCACGTGCAGGTCTCAACTACACAGGTTTCCATAAGTGGTCTCTTTTAACTTTCCTGAAATACGTTCTTTTCTTTCCCTGGGCAGAAAGAATTTGGGGACTGTACATTAGAAAAGTGAGACCTTTGCTCATTCAGGTGCAAATCCAGCCCATATGCTACCCACATAGAGCAGAATTGTGATACATCAAAATTCTTTAACATGCTTAAGTGAAATAAGTGTATGACAAATGTTCAAGGAGCCTGACACCTGCAAAGCCAAAGAAGCATGTGACCTACCCTGCAGGTGTCATAAGGTTGATTTAAGTATACGTAATAAACCTGAATTGTCCTGAAAGAATCAGACTTGCTGTGTGTGCACTGAACCGTGTGAATTCATATTTCTGATCCAGGCATCCCAGACAGGGTGTTTTAGAGTAGGACCGTGTGAAAATTCATGCTGAATTCTGCTCTAAGAATGAACAGGATTAGGTAGAAAACTCATTCCCCTAGGCTGATCCAAAGTTAGACAAAAAACTGACAGCCTCCATAATGGCAGATTAAGTAAAAGGAACCAGACAAAATAATACAAACTTATTCTTTATTATTGTACCATAGCTACTAATGGTGTGGATGTTTATGTAATTCTGTAGACAGAAGTAAAGTAAGAGTTGTTAAAGATATTTTAACTGTATTTATTTCTTAAAGAAACCAAAACCAAACAGTAATACTTATATTTTTGTACCCTTAACTGACAACCATTGCCCTTAATGGCAATGCATTTCTCCACTGCAGCTGGTATCTTACACTACTGTTCTTTGTAGGTGGCCTTTTCTTTGCAAAACCCATGCGATCCAAAGGCTACGTGACAATGCTAGACCCTTTCCAGCAGCTTTATGGAAAAAGGATGGGAGGGCTGCTGTTTATTCCAGCTTTAATGGGAGAAATGTTCTGGGCTGCTGCCATCTTCTCTGCCTTAGGTAAGGAATAAGCAGTATATACCTTAATTTGTCACAGGTGGAAAAGATTAAGAAAATCAGAAACACATTACATTTCTGGCTTCAAATGGTAACTATCCTGGGCAAATGGTTCATAGTATGACAGCTCTCAGACCCATGCTAACTTCTAATTAAACCAGGTAATGGCTTATTATTTTGTTAACGGAAAGACACACAGAGTGTCTGTTTATTTTGGGGTATCTTTAAGTTGTCCCTTTTCAAAGAACATGGAAAGGTTTAGCAGAAAATTTCCTGTAATTGTGAGGGTGACATGAGTGATTACAAGTGTCCCTTTTATGTCTAGGCTGACCCAAGCTTCACTGAGATCAGAGAAGCAAGTCAAATTTTCCCTTAAAGGTACGAAAGATTATTGCCAATAGATCTAAACAAAAGAACCCTTTACATAAAGGAGATCTACCTATATAGAACTTCCCATAGCACAAATAATAGAAGCAAAACAGATGCTGATCAATAAATTCAAGTATTACTCAATTCTAAATGGTTTTCTACACAACAAAATAAAGAAAACACTTAGGATTCAAGGAAGGATTCAGAGTATTAATGGAACTCTGACTCAATATGAAATCACCTAACTACTCTTCCAGTCCTGACAAAAAATCAGTTTCCAGGGTTTTTAATTATATTTCAGGCTTGAATTTAGCAATCCCTTCAAGAACTGAGAAAGCCCTTGAGTTGAAGCACCAGTAGTTGACTTTTACAGGCTAATCATGCTCATAGTGCACATGCGTGTGGTAATGCTTTCTAGCACAAGGTATTTTAAAAAGAAAACAAACTTGGAAGGTACTCTCCAACTGTGCTCTGATGAACTGCGAAGCAATGGGGAGCTTGTTTACCACAATTTAATCACAAAACCCTTAAGGGACTAAGAACAAACTACATGCTGAGGTGATAGGAATTGAATAACTTGAAGAACACTCTTGAGTATTTGGAATATACTTTCTTCTTGATTGAGAACAAGCTAATCTATGATATTTAAAAGCAAATGGTATGAATACCTTTCTAGTAGGTTCTAGTAGGTTTATATCAAGAGCTGGTAGTTGAAGACTGTCAGTGACTAGAAAGGTCACTAAGGCTTTGATTTTAACTATTCTCTGAATAACCTGGTTATATTACACCTCCTAACTTGCACATCTGTTATCACTGATGAATGTTTAAATCCAATACTCTTCACTTCTTGATTTTCCTCAAAATTTCTTACTTGGCAGGGAAAGACAGGGCTTCCAGCTTATGAAAGTGATCTGAGCTTGTCATTCTTAAGCACATGAACTTTGAAGGCTTCGAAGGACAACAGGAAGCCACCTGGCAGCTCCCAGCATCTCTTACATACCACATATCCCTTTGTGTTCTACTGCCAGAGCTTTTCCACCTATGTGGTCAAGAACATCCATCTGCAATACTTGTAAGGACTGAAAGTTACTGCAGTGTTTGTAATTTAAATTATCCTAAATAGAAGGAGAGGAATTTAATTTAAAACATGGATTTTAAACACTGCAATCACTTGAAATAGCTAATACATCTAAGGAAGGTGCTCTATTGGGTCTGTTACCTAAAAACAAGGAAGAACTAATTAGAGATGTGAAAGCTGGAGGCAGACTTGGCTGCGGTGTTCATGAGATGGTGGAGTCCAGGGTCTTGAGAGGAGAGACCAAGGCAAAAATAAAGACAACAACAACTGACTTCAGGAGAGTAGAGTATGGCCTCTCCAAGGATCTGCTTGGAGGAATCCCATGGGAGGCAGCCCTGTAGAGGAATCCAGAGAGCTGGTTGGTATTCAGGGGTCACCTCCAAGCTCGAGAACAGTCCAGCTTGACAACCAGGAAAACAAGTAAAGCTGGCAGGAGACCTGCATGGATGAAAAAAGATCTCCTGACTAGTCTCAGAAACAAAAAGGAAGCATTCAAGAGATGGAAGCAGAGACAGGTGACCTGGAAGGAGTACAGATACATTGTCCAAGCATGCAGAGATTAGTTTTAAAAGGTCCATCTGGATTTGAATCTGGCCAGGAAGGACAGCAGGAAGAGCTTTCATGATAAATACATAAAGTAGAACAATTTGGACTGCTGTTGAATGGGACAGGGGACCTGGTGGCAAAGGATATCAAAAAAAGTGAAGTACTCAGTGCCTTCCCTGCTTCATTCTTTGCTGGTGAGACCAGCCTTCAGGAATCCTAGGACCCTGAGAACCCTAGGAAAGCATGCTAGAGGAGGAGCCATCCTTGCAGATACTCAAGACCTGACTGAACATGATCCTGAGCAACCTTCTCCAGTTGACACTGCTTGAGTAGGGACTCGGACTAGACAGTTTCTAGGAATGCCTTTCAGTCTCAGCAAGTCTTCAATTCTTTGAGCTGTTATGTGAAGACTGACTGGTCAGCTCAATGTTGTGGTTTGTTTTCTACAAATGAAATCTGCTCAGGGACACTTGGAAAAATTCTTGGGTTGTGGGTCAACAATGGGGCTGGATTCTCCAGCTTTGCAAAGAAACCCACTTTCATCCCATGTAAATAATTCAAAGGTACTTTAGAAGAGTCAGTGGACAATTGTCTCTCTAGCTGACGCTTTCTCTACCATTCCTTCCTTGGTTGAAGTGGGCTACCTCAGAGCATAAGTGAGGTACAAAGAGTGATATGTTGCAGCAGACCACCCATAGGCCCAGCCTCTGCTGCAGTGATGCACTTGATCCCATGCAGCTGCAACTCACACAGGGAGGCTTCAGCTGTCTGTGCATGGCTGCTTTTCCCCAGATAGAACAAGAGAGTGTAGTCCTTCCAGAGCTTGAGCTATGTAAGGAAAGGCTGTTGGGACCCTCCTCTCCTCCATTTCATCAGAATATGCGAAATAAAAAATGTTAAAACTTTGACCAGCAGGACCCTTTCTTTCCCCACTCACTTCAAAGTTGCAGAAGGTATGTGCAGAAGATAGAGGGGGAATATCTTCATGCTTGTTGATAAGTGTCAGACCAGCACTTGTATATGGAACTTAACACAGGTGAGCCATCTCATCAGACATACTGTGACAGATGCTAACACACAGTGCTTTGTTTTTCCCAACAGGTGCCACTATAAGTGTGATCATTGACATTAATGTCAACCTTTCAGTCATTATTTCTGCCCTGATTGCAACTATGTACACGCTTGTGGGTGGGCTTTATTCTGTGGCTTACACAGATGTAGTTCAGCTCTTCTGCATCTTCCTGGGGCTGGTAAGTTTGACTTCTTTTCTCTTCTTTGTTGAGAATTTTGCCCTGAGCATTATGATGATTACTGAGACCTATTGTTGACCTCCATGTTTGGAACTATGTCTTCACTGAAAGCATGTCAAAGGATATTCCAGATATTCCAGGTATTCTCCAGATATTCCAGATTCTGTATTGACATCAGTGTACAACCTGTGCTTTGACAATAAGGCTGACCGAGAGGCCCAAATCTTTGGCTTTTTTCCAACTAGTTTGATAGTGCAAACTCTCACATAATTTTCCTACTGAGTACATCTGTATCTCAGGAGAGGACTGGACCTGACTCACAGAATCACAGGACCTGTAGAGGTCATCTAGTCCAACAGCCCCACTAAAGAAGGCTCACCTAGAGCACATTACTCAGGACTGCATCCAGGCAGATTTTGAACGTCTCCAGAGAAGGAGACTCCACAACCTCCATGGGCAGCCTGGAGGCTTTTTTCCAGTGTTTTGTCACCCTTGCAGTAAAGATTTTCCTCCTTCTCTCTCTGTCCATAGGACTGTGGCACAGGCACTGGATGGAGGCATCAGAAGTAGGAATCAGTCAGTAGAGCAGTCCAGAAACCTTGGTATTGGACCAGCAGAGATGCTTACTCACCTTCTTCTCTTTCCTGTAGCTGTCACCCAGTCATGCATCTTAGTTAACCTCCTGCTTTAAATCACTTTCTTGAATTTTCTCTCATTTTCCTCCATTATCCTTGGAGACCCTAGCGTAGGAAGACTCACCAGGTGACCTTGTGTTTGAATACAGTGATATGAATGTCCCTTCATCAGCTATCAGTGATATGCTAGTGAGTAGCCTTTTGTTTTAACTTCATGGTCATAGATGGTCACAGGTGTCCAGAGATCTGAGACAGGCTGAAATAAATGGGGTGGCTCAAGGTGAAGGAACTGAATGGCACCTCAGGGACCCAGACTTGTTTCTCACTTTCAGCAGAGATCTTGTGCAGCTCTAGGGAAATTGCTTCAGCAAAAGCTCACACGTGGTCACTAACCAGTCCTGTGTGTGTCCTTGCTCTGTGGCATCCTACTGTGAGGCCTGTGGCCTTATTTGCTGAAGTGCTAAGCATTCCCTGTTGTAACTGACTTCATTAAAATGGTGCTAAATACCCTGAAAAAGTAAATCCAATTTCCAACTGGCCATCTCAAATGAGAAGTTATTCCAGATCTTCTCTAATACCTTTCCTCTTCACCTACACAGTGGGGAAAGTACTCTCCTTCCCTAACATGCACATTGATATTTTTGGCCCATTCCATTTTTACAGATGGGGTGCATTACAGGAATTCTCAAAATTTTAGGTAAATCAAAATAAATAAATGCTTTTCAAATGGGAACAACTCATGCACTGCTGAAGACCCCAATCCCGTGGGAGTAACAACATGTAAACCAGTGTTAAAGGCAGCATGAACTTGATAGCAAGGGGGAAGCAAATGAAGGTTTTATAGCAGTGTTCTAAATATTTGAATCCATAGCTTTAAGTGTGTGGGGGGTTTTTAATTCATCTTGGGCTTTTAATGTAATTTCTCATTTAAAATAAACAGCAGTAATGTCATGTAGAATGAACCATATTCGTAACCTGAAGAGTCATCATCAATGGGGTGGAAGACTCAGATACCCTCTAAATGATCATGCTGTAGGTGAAGCAATTTTAGATGAGATGAAACACTTTCACAGTAGGTGTCACAGCAGAAGTTGTCACAGGCTCAGGCATTGCAGCTTCCCCATCCAGGCTCTGGAGCAGTTTGTTTTCCCACAGGCACAGAGCTTTACTACTCATTCCTCTAATGTCTGTTCCTCTCCTGCTCCTTACCCAAGAGGAGGTGGTTGTTGTAGTCACTTCTAATTCCTTGATTCAGCCAGGGTTACTCCTTAGGCATCCCTCTACCCCTTCTACCCCTGCCACTCCACATCCTTCTCTGGTTTTCTCCTTAAAATCCCATGTAGTTGCCCTCTACCTCTCCATTGTACTTTGCCTACATCTGCAATTCTCAGCTTTGTCTTTATCTTAACCAAAGAGTCCTTCCCTGATCCTGCACTGTATCTGCACTATTTATGGACTCTTAATCTCAGCTGTATTATTAATTCTCCATCCTAAATTCTTTGCCACCATGTAGAAGCCCTTTTTTCTGGTTGCCAATGGCATGAGATCCAGGTCCTTCTAGTTACCTGCTACTTCTGCCCATGCCAAATAGTACTTTCTCAGATAGTTCCCAGGAACAGTTGAGGGCTGTCCTTTTTGACAGAGAAAGGAATCTAGGTGTATGGATGTAAACCATGACATGTCAGTGAACTGCAGGGCCAGAGAAAGCATGTTGACTTGTTTTATTTAATAATATGGAGGTAATCCTTGACACCACAAAGACTTCAGTTACTGCCAGGTACTGGAATGGATTACAAAACTTGACAATGCATTTGCAATGCAGTTTCTGTTAAATCCTGGGCTGTGGCATGCAGGCTGCAGGTGGACCTTTAGAAATTTACCCTACTGAAAATCTCAGCTGAGTATGGGCAGCACACTGCTCTTCAGAAGCTCAGAGCTCAAACATGTTTGACATTTGAGATTCACAAATGAGACTTAAAAAATCCATTTGACATCCTTGTTTCCTAATGATTTCTCAAAAAAAGAGGAGTATTAATATCCACTAATTTTGACAATGTTTATTTTTCCCTCAAAATACCTAGGAGGCAGTTGAAACATTTTGGTGATCTTTCCCAGAAAAACCCAAGCAGACAGCGAGAAAAGAATCTTTCTGCCTAAGTGCTTAAATTGGCAAAGTTTAATATGTAACTGAGAACAGAATAATATGGTATATGATGAACAACCTGAATAAAAGGCAGTGCAGCAAAACAGCAGTAATTCATATAATTTTCACACATTATTGCCATAGTTGTACAAAAAATAGGGGAAAATGTTTGATTTCTCCCCTCCTTGCTCCTGTTACCCTATACACTTAAGTGTGATCAGTTGGATTATAGTTATCTTTGTGTTTTGGGTATGATTGGAGCCTTAACAATGATTCTTGCAATGGTCTACTCCACATGGTTTTCATCTCAGTAGGAGCTACTGAGGTCCTTATAGAGAGTTAGTGAGTTACATCATTACAAAATGAGTTAGCACAAGAAGTCAGTTGGAGAAAGAAATTAATCTTCTGGCCAAAACTGTCTGTAGGAAGGGTTTTTGAATCAAGAGACTGAAAAGAGTCAAGAGTCCAGAGTGAAATTGCCCTCAAGGTAGAAGAGTGCCGTAACACTGGGTAACTGGGTGTTCTGGAGCAGTAGAGCTGTGGATTCAATGACAGCACCCTTCTCTTGCCATGATACACTTCTGTGTTGCATTATCAATAAATTCCCAACCTTTCAGATGTGTTTGTGGTGTTTCATGCCTGGACACTTGCAGATCCTGATGCTATTGCACACAAATTTATGGGTTGATGTTTCTTTACAGTGTGGCCTGGGAAAGGCTGTGAATAATGTAGGTGGAGTTTAAGGAAAATAAAATGAAGATGTATA